AAAAAAAACAAAAAAAACATTGTGCAGGTTGTTTAAATACTAATATTTAACAAACAATTGTACTTACAAAATCTCAATAAACCAGTGCATATCACTACCAAATGAGTGGAACATTGGGATCCAGGCTCCTTCCACCAGTAGGTGAAATAGCCAACAAATAGAGTCACTCTAAGTTGTTATTTGGTGATACGCTTTCTACCCATTTATACCTTTTGAGTGCAATATATACAAACTTGTGGTGTGGTGTCAATACTGCTCTATGTATGCTTTGTGTTTTTTTCTGTAGATTCTATATTTGTTTCTGCATTTGAAAATCAGAGGAGTCTTTTATTGTACAGAAATACTGTATAAAGCGTAATTTTAAATCTTTTTTTCCTCTATATCTGTTTTCCATTGACCCATTAGTGTTAGAATTTTCATTTTGTGTTATACCAAGGTCGTGTGATGCTTGTCCTATGGAACTAAAATATAATTTAGAACAAGAACAATATATCTTATTTACACAGGCTGATGTATACACATGTGTTGTAGTTTAGCAATGCAATGCTCGGTCATACACTCAGAAACACCAAGAAAACATACATAGTTACATAGTTACATAGCTGAAAAGAGACCTGCGTCCATCAAGTTCAGCCTTCCTCACATTTTAAATTTTGGTGTTGATCCAAAAGAAGGCAAAAAACCGAGTCTGAAGTGCTTCCAATTTTGCAACAAACTAGGAGAAAAATTCCTTCCTGACCCCAAAATAGCAGTCAGATGTCTCCTGGGATCAAGCAGTTATTTTATCCCTGTATGTTATGTTTTTGGAAGTATTTTTCCAATTGTTGTTTAAACATCTGTATGGACTATGATAAAACCTCCTCTTCAGATCTTGCAGTAAAAAAAACCTTTTATTTGCCTTAGATAAAATCTCGTTTCTTCCAGCCTAAATGTGTGACCTCATGTCCTATGTATAGCCCTTTTATGAATAGATTTCCAGATAATGGTTTGTACTGGCCCCTAATATATTTGTATAATGTTATCACATCCCCTCTGAAACGTTGTTTTTCCAAACTAAAGAGATTTAAATTTTTTTAACCTTTCTTCGTAACTAAAATGCTCCATTCCTTTTATCAATTCTGTAGCTTGTACTTTTTCTAGTGCCATGATATCCTTCTTTAGAACAGGTGCCCAAAATGGCACAGCATATTCAAGGTGTGGTCTTATCAGTGATTTATAAAGAGGCAAAATAATATTTTCATTCCGAGAATGTATGCCCCTATTTATACATGACAAAATCTTACTGGCCTTAGCAACGGCAGATTGACATTGCATATTGCTGCCTAATTTGTTGTCTGTAACAATTCCCAAATCCTTTTCGTGTGTTGTTATCCCTAATTCACTGCCATTTAGGGTGTAAGTTGCTTGTGCATTCTTGCCCCCTAAGTGCATAACTTTGCATTTCTATACATTAAATTTCATCTGCCATTTTAGTGCCCAGTCCCCCACTCTATCTAAATCCCTCTGCAGCAAAGCAATATCCTGCTCACATTTTATTACTTTACAAAGTTTGGTGTCATCTGCAAACACTAAAGTAGTCTCTTTAAAGATTTATTAACAATAAAGATGTATATAATTTTTATAATGATTGAATTTCTTATTAGTGTTTCCCCAGTATTGTATATTGGTAAAGTTACACTGGCCGTGTTGAGGGATCTGATTTATAGAAGGTTAACATTTTTTTTTAGCATTCTTTTTCTTTTTTATTTCATTTCCTGCTATTTTCTGTAATGACATAGCACCAATATTACATGATATACACAGAACCTGATCAACTAAGAAACTCTACAGAAAAAGATAACAAAAACATGGCTTTTTCATGTTGCTGTGTATTAATGGACAATAGTTAATATTGGTATTTTCTGCCCGTGTTGTCAAATGCATACTTCAAACCCCCATTGTTTTAAAATGCAGCCATGAACTATGTATTTTTTAATTGAATTTTTTTAATATCATTACATCCAAGTCACATGAGACAATCAATCTTTTTTCATAGACTCACTCGGTAACCCTCAATAGACTGAACGTAGACCGGCTGCCAAGTAACAGAGATTTCGGTAGCTGATAGCATGGCGACTGAGACAGCAGTGGGGGCTTCTCTTGGCTCTGGGAATATTTAGCAAAAACAGACAGATAAGTATGTAAAGCAACACAGACCATAACAATACAGCTATTAAGTTAGCACAAGGTGAAAATTGATCATTGCTATGTTTTTATTTCATGATTGTTAAGTGGTAATAATGACATTTTTGACATTTTCTTTTTTGAACATCTTTGAACTCCTTTTCTGATTTAGATACCCAGAAGTTCCATTTACAGATGACATATCTATATTGATTGCATGTGGGATCTGCTATGCTGATGTCTAAATACTTACATTTATAGTGACTATAACTTAAGAAAGGAAGTATCACAGTAGACCAGTGATTCCCAAACCAGTCCTCATGGAACCCCTAGCAGTCCAGGATTTAGAGATTACCCAGTTGTATCTAAGGTGATTAAAAAAAAATACATTAAAAAAAACACCTTGGACACAACAGAGTAATCCCTAAATCCTGGACTGGTAGGGGTTCCTTGAGGACTGGTTTGGGAACCACTGCAGTAGACTATTCCTGGTTGAGGAATAATTTCAAGCTCACTAATAAAACAGAACAAATGTTTGAAGAACTGTGTAGTTTCTTTGCAGCAATATTTATTTTTTAATAAGTGATTGTTTGCATTTGTTATACTTGACGTCTAGATCAGCGACTTGTCAGAACAATAAAAGACACTGTAAAAAAATAAAATACCCAGTACTTTCTCATTGCAAGAAGTGTTAAATTGTAAAGTCAGGTTATCTTTGTGGGTACCGTAATAAAGAAAAACCTCTTAATACGAGTAAGTGCTGTCTATTCTGATTTATTCCTGAGCTAAATTGATATTTATTTAGTGTAACATCATACCATTTAAACATTTAATGGCAGAATAATTCTTTCATAACAAACCAGCATTTAAAGAACCTCTATCAACATGAAATGTCTCACTCATTTAATAATGAGTCTATTGCTGGAAAAGCAAGACAACATTCCATTCCATACTGACATATGATCATTAAAGGTTTTTGAATGTGGTTTGAGCCACAGTTTTATCGAAACTGTGCTCTCTCACATTAAAACAACTTGACTAATTATGGTCAAGAAGAATTAAATTCACATACGTAAAGAATTATTTTAAAATGCCAATTTTGAAAAATGAATATCTGTGTTTGTAAATGATGCCCAATGTCCCACTAAAAAGTATTATGATATGTGTTCAAACCGTAGAACTCACCATCGTCTGCTGAAACTATAATGGCTGGGCTGCTGAAAGGTCCTTCTCCTTTGCTATTGACCGCTTTCATCTTTACTTGAAACTCTGTTGCAGGAGTAATTGCATCATCCTTAAGCACATAACGACCAATTTCATTGTTTTCAACATAAACTTTTCTCCATCGTTGATCATTGAAAGGCTTAAAAGCAAGTATGTAGGCAAAGTTTTCACCATAATGATATTCCCGTGGCAGAGGCTGCAAATAAAACAGAATAAAATAAATAAAGTAACCCAAGAGGCTGTGACCTATGCCATTTGGAGACGATACTACAAAATGAAGTGGCAGATTACGCAAGCTAAACGGTGTCAAACAGTGTCTGCTTAGAAATCAGAAGCTGAGATTTCAGGATTAAAAATTGTGCATTTAATAACGAGATTTAAAAAGATGCGTGGTCCACTAGATTTACAAATTCTCCAACTCTCACTCATGATGATCAAAAATGTATTCATTAATGTATCCAATACTTGCAATGCACCACCTCCTCATTTGTCTGTCACTCTTTGCAAAGCCAATACTTTTATTATCTTTTCTCTTGTATATAATATATTGTGTATTTATTTAATTTGATTAACTTTATGACTTTCCTTCTTCCTTAATAATAATGATATATATGTTAAGGCAGAGCCTGTGGCTGTGGGAGGGGAAATATATATAGAGGATGGCCCTTCCTCTGGGCTGAGACTGTCTGGTTCAGCCCACCCCCACCACTCCCTTTACCAAGCCATTTAAATTGGTGGGCCCTCTTATTACAGGCCTACCCGAACGTCGGTTTTGGCACACCACAACCAAATTGTGCACCACTAAACAGGTGTGTGTGTGTTTATTACAGATACCAAAAGCAAACACACACACACACACAAAGATCCTGAAGAATGTACCATGGAAAAAACTAAATAGCTACTAAACATATATATCAGATTCAACATTTCTTAGATGTAGCCATATCTACAATTGATCATGGAGATAGAAAAAAAAACTAATTTAAAATCACATTATATTAGCTTCTTAATTCTAATGGTGGAAATTGCAATCTCAATCTGGTTCAATCTGCTAACATTTACACATTAGATCCCTATTTGCTCTTTTCAACATGCTATATTTAATGAAATCATTGAAACTCACATAAAGACTGACAAACTTCACACATGGTAACAACATACAATGACCAATCCTGAGTCCTCTAACTGTCTCATACATCTCTGCTTTTCTCACTACAATTGAATTTCAAATTATTGTAATTTAAATATTTATTTTGGTTTGGTCTAATTATATTTTTTATTTTGTCTTATATATAAGTTTTCTATACCTACCACCCATGTTACTGTTAACTCCCGATTGCTTCTACCTCCTCCTCCAACATCAGATGGGGCAACTACAGGAACTGTAAAAAAAATAGAAAGGGATTAATCCATGGTAACATTAAATTAGAACCTAGAATCTATGCATTTGAGAACATTATTGCACTTTGAAGGGTTAAATAGCTAATATTCAAAATTTAAAAATCTTTTGTTGTTTAAACACCTTAGTTGTTAAACGTTTTCATCAATGAGTTAGGTAGTCAAACTGGACCATCCTTAGTTTAACAACTATAATAAACATTACATTACCCACATAAAGGAACACTCCAAGCACCACAACCACTACAACACATTGTAGTGGTTATGGTGTCAGGAATGCCACAACTCTCCCCATTGCAAGGAGTCAAACCGTTATAGAACAAGTTAGCTGGGATATGCCGGGAGCCGGTCCCTGCGTTCTCTATTGCTCAGGGACAGTAAAAGGCTCGCTTTACTGAGATCAGACTGGCAGTGTAGGGCTTGGTACATTGCATGAGAGTGACCAGCTGACACTCTCAGCTAAGGCTCTAGCCCTAAAGGAAGCTTCTGGTTCTCCTTGAGCTGTAGTGGAGAAAGCGGCACACAACATATTCCAGGTAATAGATTAAACCATTCTAAACCGGTTCTATGGGGGGAGGGAAGTGCCAGGGCACTCTGGTAGACAAAACCATTAAAACACATTATAGTTATTTTATAGTGCTTGGAGTGTTCCTTTAATGGCCAATGACAGCCTATGCCATCATAACGATACACTCCCTAAAGACACACTAATTTAACAACAATCCCTAGTGGACTGATAATGCTAATACAGGGCATTCTCTCCAGACTATGGCCCTTTAAAAAGCAGACTGTGATAACAGTATAAGGATTGTTCACTCAAGTGTGGATTGTCACCAATTCAACCTGAATTCAAAGTGTATTTCATATTTTAGCTGAGTTAATACAAAGCTTGGTGTGATTACGTAAAGTACGAAGGTGTAAAAAAATTGTAGGATGCCCCCAAGACAGCTCCAAAGCCCAACTCGCCCTCCCCCCAAAAAAATTCCATTCCACTTACCTGCTCCCTGAGTCCTAATTTTTGGTGATGGTAAGCTTGGTTCTCCTACTCCTAATGTATTTGATGCGATTACTCGGAATTCATACTCCATCCAGGGAATCAAATCTATTACTTTTGCCGACTCCATATTTCCTTCAATGGTTGGGATTTCTAAACATGGCAAAATACAGATATTTAAAAGGGCTAACTAATTGTTTTTTACCTTGATATCAAGCTAGCTCAAATATGTCTGAAACATGTATCCTAATGTCAAACCACTCACCATGGTTTCAAATGAAAAGCACAGGGACCTGCAAAGTTCTAAATGTGTAGCAGTCACCATGGATACTAACTGGAGGTTCAGTCTAATTAATGCATTTTAGGAACTGGCCTCATTATTTCAATTTATACATAACCCCTGCCCCCCACCAAAAAAAACATATTGCTCCACCAGGCTTATATAGACAGAGATGAAGGAGATAAACAATGTTTGATTTTCCAATAGACTTTGCAGATTCTACTTTGAGGGACATAGACCAGAAAAGAAGAAAAACCTCCTTGCATCTCCTCTAAGCATAATCATACATTAGTAATAAATATGTTTACTGTATTAATAATACATATATGACTTGATAACGACCCTGTAGGGTTGAAATGCTGATCACTGATGTGCGTCATGTTTTTTTTTCACACATTCAAATTCACAGTTTGAAGGTCCTGTGAGTGCTACCATTCTATGTATATGTTTACACTAATTGCGCCGATGCATTTTACTGATGTGTTATTTAATGTGGAAAATTCTGAAGTTATGGCTATATATTATTCTTTTTTTGGGGGGTTAGTGGTAGATTCTCTGTACCCACGAAATGAAGTGCCCTTGTAAAAATGTATCTGCATTGAGTTACTTAAGTTGATTTTTTCAACAATACAACATTTTCCTGGCTCTGTAGAGCTGTTTATATCCATTTCATTACTTCTCTCCATCAGATGGTATTTATGCCAACTGCTCCCAATGGGCTTTGCAGCAGACCAACATGGCATCGATAGTTATCCCTCCAAGGAGCTAAAGATATAGGCGATAACTCTATTAACAAACCACTGGTGTCTTAAGGAGGCTGTCTAAGTACCACAACAAGTAAAGTTCTTTGCAGTGGCTATGGTGCTATATGTATTTTGGACCATATACTTTCCAATTATAAATTGTGATTAAGCCCAAACTAGAAAACAATGTCAGAGTGAAAATGCTCGACTAACCCACCACCAGCCTAGCACTGCCATCCAGATGTAGTGGTTATGGTGCATAGAGTGCATTTTTTTTTGTAGTGCATAGGGTAACAAAACCGCTTACTCTGCCACATCCGCATGCGTAAGCTTAGTAACATCACAGCAGTTCACAGATATGGAATTGAACTTGAGAGTAGCAATATACACAGGCTGTTGACTTGTCGCAATATAGCAGGGAATTTAAATCTACATGGGTAGAGGCAAGCTGAGGTTGTCCTCCAGGTGTAAACCAGAAATTGTGGGGATGCTTGCTTATGTTGGCCTAAGGGTCAAGTGGTATCGCCAGCGCCATGACCTAGGGGTGCCGGAGCTTAAGTGGGCAGAGTGCTGGTTCCTCAAGGTAACCCGTAGGGTAGAAGTTGTTGAATTACCGTGTTGTGGGGGTGAGTCAGTTGGCGGATATGTTCCCTTAGTGGGCGGGGGGGGCTGTGCGGGTTAGCATTCCCCCATCGAATCAAAAGAGGGCTTGGGGCTGTCAATGCCAGTAGTACTCTGGGTATAGAGTGCATTTTTTATGTCTAGTTACTAAGAGTATATAATACATGTCTTTACCTACATAAACCCACTTTTATACATGAACAATAGAGTGTTTAGAAGAAAACATTAAGAAGTTGAATCCCCAACATTTGTCACTCTATTTTTTAGCATTTAACAGGTAAGTTATGAAGATTAAAAAATAAAATACCAATTGTGATTTTTCACAATTTATTCAACATACCTGTCTTGGCATCCTTCCACTCATCATACAGGCTACTCTTTGACTGAATAGTGTATTTGGAAATTGGTTGGTGATTGTCTGTTCCACTGCTCCATGCAAGTTTTACATACGTATCTCGGATCTCCTGTACTATTATACCTCCTGGAGGACCAGGTGGCCCTATAAAAAAACAAAACATGCACAAAGCATTAATACATTGCGACACATTAAATAAAAAAGCATCTGTAAGCAAGCAATATAAAACAAGATGCACAAGGGGATTTGTTTGCTAAATAACTCTTTTCATTGGGGTGGCAGATTTGAAAAAGACCAAAAAGCAAAATAATATTTAGCATTTTTGACTTCAAACCAGAAAACAAATCTTCATTATTTGGTGATTAAATCCCCATCTCACCAAAAACAAGAGATTGATTTGATGCATGGTAGCAAAATTCTGATTTGCCTAATTTATTTTTTCTGAATTTTACTATTGAGTTAGACAAACCAAATTTAGTTAATATGTTTATTCAGTTATTCAAAACTGTGTTAAATCTATTTATTTTGTTAAAACAACTGTAATTTAGTTAAAACAAAATATAAGTTTACATCAGAATGTGATTTGTCCAAATAGTTTTCACTAAATAAATTGATTTAAGACAGTTGGAATGTGAGTTTACAAAAATGTTAAGTGTACACGGAATATACACTTTTTATTTACACTTAAAAAATAAATTAAATAAAACAGAATATTAGAAATAAATATGATGATTTAAAAACAGTTAATAAAGAAATAACTCAGACGGATACATAATATTTAATTATACAATACGGTTACTAAAAATATTATTTACGCTATCATTAGAGTAGTGTTTAAAAGAATGTCTGCAAACATAGATGCTTGAAGCTATATTAACGCCTCAAGAACCAAATTACATATTTTACAATAACATTTGCCCCTAAAGAATTTATAGCATGTAAGGATAATTTTGGTACAACTATTACACTTGCTTATTTAAATCTGGATACTCCGTACAGCCTCACAGTTGTTAACTCAGTGGGTCTTTGTTTTTGGCAACTTGGACACTAGTCCTTAACGGCTTAATATTTTGCAAATCCATGAGAAATGTCCACACAGTGACAGCCCAGACTGCACAAGTTTGGTAAAATAATCTTGGAGGCATTGAACGATTAACACTTTTGGCACTATTCCCCAAAGCTAGAAAAATATTAGAATTTTCATTGGTTATTCAAGTTAAAACTCTTACCTCGGACTACAAGATCAGCTGCTGCGGAGGAGTTGTCCACAATTGTTTGAGCAGTGCACAGATATCGTCCTGCGTGCTTTAACTGGGTATTCTTTATAGCAAGTTCACTACCACCTTCAATCTGATATAAAATGTATAAATAGCACAGTTTATAATAAAAACAAAAATTCAGCTGTAAACTTTATAATCCTCAGTGCATTATAATGCAAAGGTACAGAAAAGTGCTGCAAAGGTCAAAATCTTAGAAAAGCAATGATAGCGCAACAATATACCAGATGTATATTTCCATAGGAAAGCATTGGGAGGCAATTACGCATGCGTGGCACAATACCATGCTGTGCCAATCATCATTGAATCAATGCATCTCTATGAGTAAAGTTCAGTGTCTTCATGCAGAGCGTGAAAATGCTGAACGCCAGTGCTGCACACAGTGCAGCACTGTACTAGGAATCACCTATGTGGCGAAAGTAACCACGCCACTGGTTTTTGGAGGGGCCTGTCTGCCAGCCTCCTGCCCTGCGACTATGGCCCTGGGATGTATTGCCCTTCTAGGAACTGATTTGGGCATAATGGATTTTTATATTGCTGTTCCTTGCCCTTTAACTACTTTGGAGCAGTGTTACAACTTTAAATTGGCACTTCGGATACAACCGAAGTGCCGAAGTAGTCGAAGTGGCTGCCATTCGACAAACGAACACGTGGCAGCGGCCATTTTAACTCATTCGAATGCGGTCACCGGTGTGTGCAGCCAAATCTATTGAACTGTTTTCGGCTACCCAGTTGCATGAACACCGCTGACCTGTACCTTCTACTCTACTTCGACACTGCGGCTGGAGACTAAGTCCCGTTCGAAGATTCGAATGCTCGTTCGAATGGGACTTTTTCTCAGTGTAAAATAGACTGACCGCACAGCCCAAATCCATGGAACTGTTTTGGGCATGAAAATGTGCTTGCAGTCGGTCATAAAGGGACCTCAACCTAACTTTTTAACCCCTGGATGGATTCATGTGATTTTTACATATGTTGCTCCCCAAGTTATGCTGATCACAGAAATATAAGTTTTAG